GTTTTTTGTACAGTTGGGCATTTTAATATGGGGCCTTATGGAGACTGACTCACTGCTGGAGCCAGCCTCTAGTGGCCGTTTGAGGAACTGCAGTTTTGGACACTTTCGTATAGGCTTCAGGGTGCCGCTTGGTTCAAACCCACTGGTCAGTTGGGGCCTTTTTGTGTGTAATTAAATGGTGGCTCTAAATTGCCTGTAGGTGTGAATGGCTGGTTATTTCTATGTGGCGACCTGTCTAGGGTGTATCCTGCCCAATGTCAGCTGGGATTGGCTCCAGTCCCTCACAAGCCTTCAAAGGATAAGCACGTGTAGATAATTGATGGACATGGTAACTGAATTACACCTAAAGGCTCTGACACAACAAACCGACATCGAAGAATTAGTGTCGACAAAAGGCAACTGTGGCATCGCCATATGTTGCCTGTGTCTTGGCCAAAAAGTGACACAAACACAGCACACAGACTACAGAGAATAACCAACAAGCATGTACGTTCGCGCAGGTAGCGGTAGTCTGCATTCATCATTCAAAAAAAGAACGTTGGAAGACGTAGGACTGCAGATGGATACAAAAGCAGCTCTATGGATGTAGCTTTCATAAAACAGCTGCCTGTTCTAACTATCAAATGTCTGTATTTGAGTGATCAGATGAGATGAAGTTGAAAAATTTGACCATCTCTCTTGACGGAGTCATTTGCTGCTTTGCTCACTTCCATTTCTCTTCTCGTGCACTGATTTACTTAAGCTAAACAGCCAATCAGAGTGCTTTCTCTCACCGGTGGCCTCCATCGCCGATTCAACATGCTCAGTCGGCCTAAAAAGCTGCCGACGAGTCAGTAACTTACTGAGATACTGCTTATTACAATACAATTAAATGAACAGCCACACTATGAAAAATTGCAGAGCAGTTTTCTTCAGTGATAGTTCTGGTCCACATCCAGTACTTCATTGTTGTGTCAATTTATCTCATCGCTAATCCTCCCTAAGGACAATATTTTAACTACACAGCTCTTTGTTGTAGGAAAACCTGTTTGTCTAGTCCAAGTACATAAGTCACTCAGTAAGTCAGTCTGTCAAGTGAACATTATCTGGCAGGAAGCAAACATGTGACTCCAGTCTCACCGTTTGTCCAGCTAGCTGACTAACCCAAAGATTCACGCAGTAAAGAAAACACAGTGACAGCCGGCCAGCCTATCAGGGTGTCTTGGGGTCTCAGGGTTGAAACTCTAAACAGATGCACCACCAAAGGCTGTGCAAACAATTGTTTGCAGACGCTTTTTTCTCAACTATGGTAACCACCAGCACTCTCGCTTCTTCTTCTAAACCATAGACATTAGACTGAACATCAGTGCCCCAGAGATAGCCGATAAAATGCTCCATATTTGTCTGGTTAGCGCCATATTTATCATTCAGTCCATTCATTGTTGCCAGTTAAAGAAACAAACTTGTGCTGTATGGTGAAGTTAAAAGAGCTCTGGGTTTCTGGATGTGAAGCTGAGTTCTGTGGATGAAGTTGACACATAAAATTGATGGCAACAGTAAAAAGGAAAGTTGTGTAGAGCGCACAACAACTGGCGTGACATCTAAAATGCTTTTTTTTTGGCAGACTATTGTAAGACGTTGTCTTCCAACAGTGCTAAAGCACATTATTACACACAAACGTAATGCACCATAGCAACAGTGAGGTAATGCTTTCTGTTTGAAGGGTTGCATTTATGTTGTAGCACTGCAGTGGAGAGGTGAACTGGTTAATTCAACTGCATGCACACTAACAGGGTTTCAAGGTATATTTGGCACCAGGCCAGACATATTATATAATAATGTGTGCTCATATTTAGATGTGTTCATATTTGTGAAAAATCCCAGAGTCAAAATAGTCCAATCATGACTTTGCAATAATGGGATAACGCTTAAATAAAATGAATTTTAGAGCAGTGGACATTTTTACATACAGTGTGTGTTTGTGACCTTGTGCCTGGATTATCACATAATCTCCAGCTTTTTATTTAGTCACTGAACCATGAATCGGCACTGGCACTGTTGCAATGCACCCACCAAAATATCCTTACAAATATCCAAAGACATACAAACACACACACACACACACACACTATAGTGGTTTGTTTATGTGGTGAATTAGCCAGAGGCTAATCTGACAGAGTAAGGAGCCTGTGTGGGCTTGTTAGGGACCCTGTTGAGACAACACAGTAGTGGGACTTTGAGCCTTGATGTGTGTGTGTGTGTGTGTGTTTGTCAGTTGAGGGTTTAAAAAAAATACCACCTAACTGAGACTTAAGCCAATCACATCCTTCAGATGGATGGCAAATTAAATCCACACTTCTAGCTCGACGTGGGGCACATTAGTCAGTTTTAGATTTTACGCTGGCACTAGTTTCATGTCCGAATAATATATAATATATAAATAATATAT